TGTATCTAAGAAAAAGGTACCATCTTCGAGAGGTATGTTGGTAACACAGTTTCTTCCATTAAATGGAGGACAAGTTTACAAAGGTCACCAGAAAGAGGGCTTCCCATGGACACTTTTCAGTTCTGCAGGAAAATGTCACCCTCAAAACTAAAGAAAGATAAGTAGTATAATATGTGTGCTAACTCAAGAATCTGGTTGTGATAAGTCAATGTACTTTTGATGTGTAGAAAAAGGAAATCTCAGAGATGGCAAAAACAAAGTTATATTTTAATCCAGGGGTACCAAGAACCCATAATGTATTCCTCTCCTATAAGTTGCAAAATGTCCCATCTGAAAAGTTTTACAACTTGCAAATTCCTTAGATTCAGTAATGGTGTGTGTATACATGATCATGTTGTCCTTTAGAAACATCTGGACTGCTCTTTCTATCTTGATTTCAGGTGAACAATGTTTGTCAATTATTGACTGTATGTGTTCACCAGACTTATGTGTTTTAGCAAATGTAAACAATCTGGGCAAGACTGGCTTTAGTGAATTGAGTCACTTTGCTCTGAGGCTTTTCTGGTATGATTTTGGTGCCAATGTGCACTATGTGGAAAAAGTATATTCATGGAGTGCTTTCTTGTACATCTCTTTCATCACAATAACTAGGTTCTTAGACTTGTCAGCTTGACAAGGATGACATCAATGTTGCACAGCCACATCTTACTATTACTAATGTTTTTTCCACATTATCCTATCTCTAGCATTTATATTGTGTTGCCAGATCAGCAAGGCCACTTTTTGCTTGAAGAAATCCTGTTGTACAGTACATCACTGAGGTCATTGAGCAAATTTTCAATATCCAGAAGGAGTTCTCAGGTTTGCAGTGCAGCGTTGTATACATCAGGTCAAACGTAGAGACCTCTATGAGGCATGGAGATGTGGTTAACTTGTATCATAATATTATGCTATTATCAACAAGACAACACCAGTTTCTAAGTGTCAAGAAAACCATTTAAGTTTTCAATGAAATTTTTCTTTAACTCTAAACATTATTTGCTCATTTGTGGCGTAGTAAACACTAATATTGTGTTTTATTCCGAAGACACATGGCAAATTTTCCATCAAATTCCTTTATTAGTTGAGTTGAGTCAACTCAACTAATAAAGGAATTTGATGGAAAATTTGCCATGTGTCTTCGGAATAAAACACAATATTAGTGTTTACTACGCCACAAATATAAAACAGGACATGGTTTCAAAAAGAAAATCAAAAAATTATTTGCTCAGCTAAGTTACAATCCTTACATTAATGTATTTCAACAACTCAAATAGACACCCACAACTGCCATAAATAATTGGGCTATAATTTGGAAATATTAATTAAGAATTACAAATGAATATGATTGCCATCAGGATGTGTTGCCAGTTATGTTACCTGGACCTCCGGACCAATCTCCTCTTCCAGTTATATATATGAGGATAGGCTGAAAAGTAATGCACACATGCTTGTAGAGCATGAACAAAATGATTTTCAAAAGCACACCAGGTGGCATATGGAAGTAACATTCCCCCTCTATGCGTAGGTGCAGTTTGAGGTTGTTGTGTTCATTCAGTAAATTTTGAGAAATGGAAATATGGAGATGTGTTCTAGTGCTATGTCAACACGAGTTAAACAGCGTACTGTTATTGAATTTTTAATTGCTGAAAAAGTGACTCCTACTGAGATTCATCATCATTTAAAGGCTGTTTATGGTGATAATGCTGTTGATAGGTCTATTGTAAATCAATGGATAATAAAATTTTGTGGTTGCTAGCCTGAAAAAGCCATAATTGTTGATGAAACACGCAGCGGACGTCCAATCACTGCCACAGACAATTACAATTGCCCCTCATTGCAATGTTTAATTCTTCTCAGTACATACAGACTCTAAAACACCTCCAACGTTGAGTTTGTCATGTTAGAGGCAGCCTGGTGCCAATAATCTTGCAACATGACAACACTCGCGTGCAACTGGAGAGGCTTTGCGAAACCTTAAGTTTGAACCGATTCCACAACCTCCTTATTCCCCCGATCTTGCGCCTTACGATTTTTATTTTTTTCCTCTACTCAAGAGAGACCTCAATGGTGATTATTATACCTTGGACAATGAGGTGAAGGCAGCTGTCAAGTCCTGGATTCGAGAAAAGTCGGAAGAATTTTTCAGTGACAGAATGAAAAAACTTGTTACACGTTGGGAGAAATGTGTTAGCCTTAATGGTGACTATGTTGAAAAATAAATATATGATTTTGAAGCTTAAAAATTGTACTTTAACGTACTTTTTGCCCAATCTTGCTATTTGTTTTTATTCGTGTTCTACAAGCATGTGTGCATTACTTTTCAGCCTACCCATGTACTTTGTTGTGTGTGCTTATGAAACAACCTTATATCTTGAAAACAAAGTCATGGACCCCCATTTTTTATTGCATTTTTGGATTCCGCGTCACAAGTAATGGAAAACGGCAAAGTTTAATCAAAATCTATCAAACAGATTTTGAGAACGAACACAATTATGTAAATCTCATAGAAGAAGCTTCACTAACACTCTGCTTCAAATATATTTATTTTGTAACTTGTTTTTGAATATAATTCTTCAGTCTACAAGCTTCTTTATGTGCTTTTCCATATTGTTTAATATGTTTTTAATTTTTGTTGCAATTATTTCAGAAATTTAAAAGTTGAATTAAAAATGGCTCATCATATGAAACGAACAATATTTTGTGGCTGCATGTCATACTGTCTGCTTTTGTCCTTTTGTTCTTCTGATATTTTCCCATTCTTTGTTCTTTCCATCTTCAAAAACTTTCTAATCTTCTTAATTCTTTCTTGGAGGTGAAGGCCAGTTCCTAGAATTCACCAACATAATGTATACAAGGTTATCTGAGGGCATACAAAGCAAATGAAGGTCACTTTTGAACTGATGTTTAAAGAGAGAGGATAAGAAAAGGCGAGACAGTACAGTGTCCAGTGCCCAAGTAGATGGTGACACCATAACTTTGAATGGGAACTTTAAAATCCCCAGTCCAAAGTTAGTGTGTTAGAGTTGGTGTTTCAGCTTGACAAGTCTGAATGTGCGACTTGCTATTGAACCAAATATACGAAAACCCTCAAGAACTGAGAAAAGGAAAGATGAAAGTGAGAATTCTGTGTTTAAGAAGCTTCATGTGGTTCCTGACAGTAACTAGATGATGTTTGCACTACTTGGATATCCTTTCCTATCCTATCTGCCATCTTTGCTACTTCTTGTCCCTACCTTCTATTTCCTTTCTAAGTAAAAATTAGTATTAGGGATTAGTTGAGGAGAAATTTTTGTAATTATTATTTTCAGTTCTATTTTGTATGAATTCCAATAATTTTTGTAACTATTCTACCAACAACTGGATTTGGGTGACTGTTAATCAACACTCCTCTAGAGTTGGAATCCCTTTGTATCTGCACTTTTTTTATCACACATAATAAATTCATTTTTCCATCTACTTCACATGTGTCTTTTTTTCTGGGTATTTACCCTCGTCAGTCAGCAAAACCCTTTCTTAATTATTACAATTTATCATCTTTAATAATGTATTACAATCATACACATTCAATAAACTGACTTTTTCTTCACTGTTTGAATCTTATATTAATTTCAAAAATTCTATACCTTGCATATCAAATGAGTGAAACTGATTAAAACAATTTTTAAGTCACTTAGTCATAAAATAGCATTAATGACAAATGTATGATCAACTATATTGAATAAGAAAAATAATAATATAAAGCAAAAAAAATCAAATAACGTGGAATTGAGTTCTTACTTAAATATAAATATCTTCATTAGTTATAATGAAATAAATATTTAAATATAGCAAAACAACATTTTGTACATAATTGTTTCCTGTGAAAAATTTTATTGTACTTCTTACATTGTATGCAATATATTATCAAAAAACATTCAAAATTTATGTCAGAATGCTATTAATATAAATAAATCATCATGATCAAATTCAATTTTCAGAAATGAAAATAATCACAGTAGATTTAGAATAAAATGAAGTACAGTACATTTCATGCCAAAATAGTTACAGCATTAATTAAAAAGGACTTTTTATTTGAGAACACAAGTACAGTTGTCCCTCTATAGTCTGACGTTTTTTAATCTGACATGCTCAGTAGTCCGACGCACCTCCCGTCAAGGTACCCGTCCCCGTTACGTGTCTGCTTGCATAGAAGCATGTCGCGATGTGAATCTCCCCATCCAATTCTTACTCGATGACACACATTTCATGTGTTTTATGTGAGCAGTTCTGTTCGAACAGTTGGAGTAGAGAATATTGTAAGTTACTGCTAGCAAAACAATGCGAAATATGTAATTATTTTCGGTAATCCGGACACTTTTGGTAATCTGACACACCTTTGGTCCCATACCTGTCGGATTATCAAGGGACAACTGTACTTTTGATAGTTTACAACTATCCTTGTCAAGCTGAATTGATTGGAATCATATCAAACAAAATTTTTCATATTTTTATACAGAACAAGAATGCATGGACAATTTTGAAAATCTTCCAGCTGTGTGCCCATGGATTGTATGGAAAGTTTTTAAATAATGTAATTTGAAAATTAAAAATTACTAAAATTCTTTAAAAACAAAAACAAAAAAGCTAAAAGTAGAACCTTCTTGTTGATAAAAAAGGCATTAGATTTATCATATAAGCTGCTTGAAAAGTCCATAGGTTTGGAATGTTAAAGTACTTGCATTTTTGAATAAAAAGTTTTAATGCTATAAGACATTGAGAATTCATACCATAGAATTAGAATTAATACCTATAGTATTATTCATACTTTTTGTTTTTATTTATTTCTATTCTGAACTTATTATGATTCATGATACTGCAAGTATCATGAATCATAATAAGTTCAGAATAGGCTGACATATTTTATTAATAAAAAAGTTCTGTGCATTATTATTTCTGAAATTATAATATTGTATACTTACCCTTGATCCTTTTTCTCCAACACACTTGCATCCTGACGCACAGCTACCACATATTACAGAAGAATTTTGTGAACCATAATATTGTTGCTAAAATAAAAAATTAAATATTTTATGTTACACTAAGAAGCATAAATAAGTTTCATTTTTAATTTTAGTTTGACTCTAAAAATTATTTTTATTCTAATATAAAAAATGAAATTTTAAGAAAAAGATATAAAACATTTTATCAAAAATGAACTTAATTTCTAGAAAATTAAGTTCATATTTGACTTCAACCTTAATTTTTTCCAAATCATTTTGGACTTGTACAATTGTTGAAAAACAGAAATCCACTAAGAAACATGGCATGGTTTTCAACAGACTTTTTTATTGTAAAAAATAATTTTAAACTTAAATTTACCATAAAAAGTTATAAAAGAAATGATGTCATGATATTTGTGTCATTTAATCAAGTACATTATTTAGAAAACATAATGAATTTTTCAGATAAAGTAACCATGCATCACAGATTTTTTGGAATAATCTCTGAAACAATTTTTAATTTAAAAGCAAATAATATGTGCCACAAAGAATAATGAAGAGGATTGTTTTCTTGTATTGTTTTCATGCTAGCACTTTTGATAGCTTATAGCTATTGAAAGTGCTAGTGAGTATGTCTAAAATCTAAAAAGTCGCAATTTGTAATGCAACAACATTGAAGTGTTAATTACTTATTTTATTTGAACGTTGGCATAAAGTGTATTTTATGATCATCTTGTTTTTAAACATAATTTTATTAATTTATGACATAAAATAAAAAATAGAATATTAATCTGAAAAAATTGATGAAATAATGAATATAAAAATCTCCACGTTTAAACGCATTTAAAAAATGTCCTCCATAATAAAGCACACCATAAAACATTTCTAACAATAAATTACCTTACAATCAGACAGATCTACACATCAGGGGGCTTTGGAGCTTTAAATTTCTGAGGCTCCTTTAATTAAAAAATTTTCACATATACATATCAAAATCAGGCCCCAAATAGAGAAGAGTGGTCCTAATGAAATGGTTGATATAATTTAGAAATTGTTTTAGATGCATTTTCTTTAATTTTAAATTATTATATATATTAGGAGGTATATTACTAACAACTCCATATTAAAGGTACTGTACAAGTTTTATTATATATTTTCAGTCTTCTTATTGTCATTTGATATTTTTCAGATTCCTTGGAAAATATCAAATGGCATGCTATGAAGATCTTAAGGCATTGCATGTCTATAAATAAAATATAAACAGAATATTACATTTTTAACAAATTTAAGCTACAAAATATGTACTCTTGAACCCTGTGAGACTTACATATACATGATTATACACTTTTATGGAACCCCTTTTGGTTCTATTCAGGAAAGTACACAACTATACATAAATGTATGCTTTTAATGTTCTACTGCTATAAATTAAAAATAATTTTTTTTAAATTTTAGCTTTGTAGAGTTCCCTGGGTTCAGGTGCCTGAAGTTTAAGCTTCATTAGTTTCTATATAAATCTGCACGTCTACAATTTTCAAAAAATTTATAAATCAACTCACAAATTTCAAAAGTAAACAGATGCACAAACATTTTGACAAACAGATTTTAATAAAACAAACAAATAATGGCACACAAATTTAATGAAATAACGTACCTGTAAACAAAATAGTGTCACACTGTGCTAGTTCTGGCTAGCACAGTGTGACATTGTGTGGAATAATCATACATAGAATAGTAGGGCAATAACTGACAGAGGTGTTTATAGCTTAAAATATTGCCAAACATTAGTAGTTAGTAGCATTAATATAGCCTGATGTAATCCAGAAATTGTTTGGCTTTAATTTTGCCAACATTACTAGAAACAGCTGTCAGTGAAACCTAAAAATCTACAATTTTGACCTTGATCACATGCTTTGCTCTGCAGCAAAATTTACTTTTCCTGACTTAAGGTATTTTTTCAGTCAAAACATCCAACTGGAATTACTGATTAAGCCCATATATTTACACCTTTTAATTTCCAGAAATCTAGGCCAAAAACATTAGTTAAATTAAAACAATTTTGCCAGAAATTAAAAGGTGTTAAACATGTGGTACTTTTTCATAGATTTTTAGATAGATTAATTTAATTACTTTTTCATAGAATTTATTTTTAATTTATAGCAGTAGAACATTAAAACATAATTTCATTACAGTAGACTCCCCTATAATACGGTAGATACGTTCCGTTTTATATGAATTTGTGTTTTACGAGTCCTTAAATACATGAGCCAATCATAGCCCGGCACGTATGCAGTTTAGGACTACAGCTGTTTGAAAGGTTTTCTTCCATAAAATTAATTGATTCTAGACTAATTTGACTCAATATTTTCAAAACACGTATAATTTTTTGGGAATAATCCATATAAACTATGCTATAAACAAAAGATTGTAGGATTACTTACCAAGTGTGCACCGTTCGATGACGCCATTGCTTAAGCTTGTTTTCATCGTGGAGCAGCGCATTGAACAGCGGGCATGTGTTTTCTGATAAGTTATTTTTCTGCGAAAAATTCGCTGAACTTTGGAGACATCATTAATGTAAATATAATTTTTATGGCCGTTAAATAATAAATGGTTTTTAGTAGGTCCGCTGCTCGTTTAAACTCAATGGTTTGTGCAATATCTGCTATTGGTCTAGATTCGACCAATCCTGTTGCGGCATGAGTCAGCGATGACGTTTTACTGTATTATATGAGTCTCTTTTAGCGTGTTTATATGAATACGATCGCAATTTTTTTGCCATTATATACAAATCCTTATTATATGAACCCATTTTATAGGGGGGTCTACTATATTTGATTGCATCACAAATATATAATTTGCAATGCAATCAAATAATGAAATCATGTTTTCATTTATAAGAGAGTGAAATTTTCAATTGCAATTACAAATATATATGAATCAAAGCTAAAATCACATTATCAAACATAAATCAAAACTGCTAAATTATTTCAGATTGCATTAATGCTGATTGTAACTAAGATCAAAATTTATCATAAGCTGATATAAAGTTACCATAAAACTGCCACCATCATGTATAAATATTAATAATTAGAAATTAATTTTAAATTTAATTAAATAATTTAGAAAATCCTAATAATTCTAAATTTAGAAATTGATCTAGAATGAGATTCAAACTCATAACTCCCATAAACCAAACAAGCATGTTACCCATTACACCAAAATGACCAGACCTAACCTGCTACATGAGAAAACTGCTAATATAAAACAAGCTTGCACTCACAATAAAATAAATCATACATTCCTCTATTTTTTTTGTTCATAGCTATGCTGTAAAGAACATAATAACTTTTTTTTTTACTTTATAGAGCACTGTAGCCATTTTAATGATTGGTAAAATGGCTACAGTGCTTTAGAAATATAACAGTATAGAAATATTGGTTATCATGGCTGGATGACTGATGAGGCTAAGGCCTGTTTCTAAGGAAACCTGAATTTGAGTCTGGATCAGATCTTCAGAATTTTTCATAATGATCTAGTCTGGATGAATTCAATTTCAATATTCTCCAATCTCTCCACTTGTGTTTGTGTTTGAATATGTATATCAAAATGACAACAAATTGACCAGAATCACAGATAAAGGAGACAACTATATGCAAAAGCAATAGTGAAGATAAGACAAAATATTTACAAACATATTGTGCTGTATTTACAAAACAGGTGACCAGCAGATCTGACATAAAGATCTCAAACTCTTTAAACCAAATTTTAGTTAATTAAAATGAACAAAAATAGCCCAAAATAAGCTAGAAGTTTTATGCTAACTTTACATTTGTAATTACAAATACTCTGTTCTTTTCACCAAAGTTTTCAGTATATAACATAAAAGTAGATCATTTCACAAACAAACTGTCTATAAACTATATCTTTAGCAGATAATATATGCTTTACATCTGAAGGTTTTTTTTTTTCATTTTAGATTTTCAAATTTTCTAAATGTTTATTATTATTCAAATATGAAAACTTTTTTCTAAGTTACACACCTTTTGTTTATTTTGTTTCTTAGTGCTTCAGCTAATATTAAATAAAACGGTACTTATGGGTTAAGAGGACGCCAGTTCAGTGGGGACGCATGTTCTAACCTAACCTAACCTATTCTAATAAATTACCATAAATTATTACCAATCAAATTATTAGAATAGGTTAGGTTAGGTTAGAACGTGCGTCCCCACTATTTCCTTTTGTTTGCTGGAATCAAAGATGAGCCGCCATGACGGTATACATATCTGGACTTTAACCAGCAAATAGGCGATATCTATCATCCTAATTAATTTTTTTTCATTTTTACAACCTTATTAGTAAATTTTCTTCTTTTTAGATTTAAATTTACTAGTCTATTGTTATTTTGATATTTTCATTCAAAATCACGACTTTGATTGCTATTTCTGACTGGCATCCTCTTAACCCATAAGTACCAATAAAACATCAAAAATATCAAATCAAATGTATATTCTAAAATGAGTTAAGAGTGATAAATATTAATTTCCACAACAAGAAAAAAGAAAGAAGATAAACACAACAAGAAAGAAAACAAACTTAATCCACTCCAAATATGAGGTAAAAAAATATTGAAAATAATGATATAACTACTGAGCCTGAGGAACAGATTAGGTACAAAGTAACCTTGAAATGTACTTTGCATACATCATAAGTCAAGTCACTCTCCTTGCTTGGTTATTTTATAGTTGTGTTGTGTTTCTACCTGCACAAACATCGTGCATCACATTAGTTATGGCAAAAACATGAACAACTAATTTGCATTAAATTTTGCCAAAAACTTGGTAATCCATGCAAAAAACCTACAAGTTGAAAAAAGTCTATAGGGTAGATTATATGAGTCAGGCATAAGTTTACAAGTGATATAAATATTTTAAGGATGATTGTGAAAGTGTTGAAAGTGATGAATAGTCAGGGAGGCCCATAATGAACAAATGTGAAAAAACATTGAATGTACTGTATATGTGCAGCTGTGCAGGAAATTTGTTTATCACTTGTCATGAATTATT